ACGCCAACTAGAGCGAGGAGGAGATCAAGGCGGTTGAGACACGTGGGAGTTCACCACGGAGCAGTTGGGGAAGCGGTTTCACGGAGCGTGAAGACTACGAAGCAGTTTTTCGAATAAAAGCAGTGGAGTAAGGAGAGAGAAAGGGAGAACCAAATCAACACAGAAACACATCTGTCAAACTTTACCTTTTTTCTCTGTAACTCCTTCGCGGAGCTCTCCTTCCAGGAAGGATCTCCATAATTGTAGTCTTAGTCGTAGTCGCGGAGCTCTCCACAGGAATCTCCATAGGAGTAGCGGTAGCGTAGATTCCTCAAAACTCAAACACCCTCGTTCGAACGTAGTTTGGAGAGGTGCGAACCGTAGTAACGGTCGTTCTTGGTTAGAAGTCAGAGGTGCATCGATCAAATCAACGGCCTCGACATTCGACGGAGGATATTTGACGGTCATCCCGATTTCAGCAATCAGCGGTGCATTCGATCAAACGGCACCGCAAGAGTTTCCATCGCGAAACATCAAATCAACATCGCCGGAAGCAAATTCGGCACCGGCGGTGGTATTTGGTTTTTCTGAGGAAACAGAAGCACAGAAGCGGCAGGAATCAGTACCCAAATCCAAATGCCAGAGAAGGACCCGTTCAAGTAAATCAAGCACTATCGGCGGTGGTGGAAATGTTGGCGTCGGTGATCATCAAATTAAGAAGGAAAGCAGCAACAACGATGAAGACAAGCGTATTGCTACGACGACAAGAGAAGTGTTGGAGCCACCGGGAATCGAATTCGACGTCGGCGACACCGAAGGAAATGAGGCAATCGTACATGGATTGATCGGTAGAGGTGAGGGGCTTGAGAGAGGGTGGTTATGCACCCATCAGTAACGTACCCTTCTTTTAAGTGGGTCCAAAAAATCCAGATCTCAGGGTGGAGAATTAAAGTGATTTTATTTTTCCATTGTTTTCTTAATTGGCTCGTATCTTTTTCGTTTTAACTCGGATTTCAATTTTTTTTTTGCACAGATGGAATGAGTTCGTTGTGCTCTACAAAATGAGATCCATTTTTAATATTTTTTTAGGAAAAAAATTTCATGTTTCTCGTTACCAACTGCATACTTATGGTATCTTTTTCGTTTTTAAGTCGTTTTTGAAATTTTTTGCACAGAAGGAACGAGTTCATCATGATCTATTTGATCTACAAATTTCTGAGTGAATAAAATACAGAAAAAAAGGAGAAACAGAGCCATCTTCCCCAAATCGTTATATAGAGACCTGAAAAAAGAAACTTTACTTATTAGGTTGGGGAGTCGGTGGAAACTGGAATGGTGGGGAATATAGGGGAAGGAGATCAGAACAAAATGGGCTAAATTGCAAGTTTGGTCACTCGAATTGCTACAAAATTTCACGTTTGGTCACTCGAATTCGTTTATTCCATTCGTAGTCGCTTAAATTAGTTAAACAATTCAAGTTCGGGCACTCTCCGTTAACCTCCGTCAGACTTCGTTAGTGTCGTCAGTTAACTACTGACGTGGCTAACAGAGATGCCTAGTCACCTAATTTTAACCCAAGAAAAAACAAAAATTGACCCGCCACGTCAGAAAAACATGCCACCTCATATAAACACAACCCAACCCACCCAACCTAAAAAAACCATTAACCCACCCAGAAATCGAACCTGTGACCCATCCACCCTTATTCTTCTTCCTCTACACCCTGCTTTCGCCGCTGCCGGGGGGATTTCCCCTCGATCTCCCTGCTGCAGCCGCCGCCTCCGGATCCAATAACCCCCAAACCGTCGCCGCCAAGAGGAACAGCAGCCACCCGCACAAATCACTGGCGCGACTCCTCGAGGTTCCCTACCCGGCCTCCGATTTCATCAATTGTTTCGTGCTCTATGTCCCAGATGGTGCAGGTGGTGTCGATGCTGGAGGTGCCAATTCGCTTGGGCTCGGCCTCGTTCCAGTCAAAGGAGGTGAGAGGGCCGCAAGACTCGCTGTTCTTGTTGCCGTTGAGGAGACTCTTGAGCTCCACCCGGTCGTCGGAGATTCTCCAGACGCGGAGGAATTCGCTGGAGGTGGCCAGGAGGTCCGGCTTCTGGCAGTCCTTGTCAGGGATGAACATGGTCTTCGTCGGAGGGAAAGGGTGCTCGAAGGAGAGGTTTTGGTCGCAGCGGATCTCGTCGTTGGAATCGTCGAGCTGAACAATCTCAACGCGGTTCTGGTACTACCCCATGAGGCTGGCTATGGCGAGCCGGTACTTCTTGTCGCGGCGAACGCTCCAGTTTATTGCGTAGATGTGTCAGGGAGCGTCATAGGTGTAGATCTCGGACCGCTTCTGCTGCTCATCCGGCGGCGGGGGCTGCAGCAGGTAGATTGAGGGGAAATCCCCCCAGCGGCGGCGGAAGCAGGGTATAGAGGAAGAAGAAGAAGGGTGGATGGGTCACGGGTTCGATTTCTGGGTGGGTTAATGGTTTTTTTTAGGTTGGGTGGGTTGGGTTGTGTTTATATGAGGTGGCATGTTTTTCTGGCGTGGCGGGTCAATTTTTGTTTTTTCTTGGGTTAAAATTGGGTGACTAGACATCTCTGTTAGCCACGTCAGCAATTAACTAACGACACTAACGGAGTCTGACGGAGGTTAACGGAGAGTGACCGAACTTGGACGGTTCAACTAATTTAAGTGACTACGAATGGAATAAACGAATTTGAGTGACCAAAGGTAAAATTTTGTAGCAATTCGAGTGACCAAACTTGTAATTTAGCCGAACAAAATGATGGTAGCGGAGAGCGACAGAGTGTAAATGGCAATGAACAATGACTTCACAGAAACCGCCATCATTTGGAGATTGGAGGGTGATTAGCAAAAGAAGCTATGCACAGAATCTAACTTGACAGAGAAATTGGTGGAGATGTTATATTTGTGTCTATATTTCCAAATGGATTCGTCTTCGGTCAACACAAATGGATTGGCCCAAATTAGAACCAACCCAAATAAAAAATTATAATAAAGGAAAAAAAATTTGGTCCATTTGGAGCCAAACCCAAACACCACATGTTTTATGATATATTTGGCAAGTTTCAAGAAGGCGTTAGACAGGTGTTAGGGCTTTGCCTAGTGCCTAGCAGCACGCTAGCAGCCTGTTTGGATACAATTATATATAAAATGAAAATGGAATTTCATTTTCAATTCTAATTTTTATGGAATTCTATTTTCAATTTTTGTGTTTGTTACAATTCTCACAATTATGGAAATGAATTGTACTTTTAACAATTAATTAATGCTTTAGTATATTTTTTTACCTTGATAAATGAGATATAAGTGAGAGAGAAAGAGAGGAATATGATAGTGGAGTGATAAAATAACAGCCTGTTTGGATACAATTCAAGAAGAAATGGAAATGGAATTCTATTTCCAATTCCTATTTTTATAGAATTCCATTTCCAATATTAGTGTTTGGTATAATTCTTCCAACTAAAGAAATGAATTGCACTTTTAACAATAATTAATAATATAATATATTTATTTAATCTTGGGAAATGAAATATGAATGATAGAGAAAGAGAGTAGTGTGATAGTTGGTTAATAAAATAATAATAAATAGTGATGGGACCCACTAATTCCATCTTCATAAACACAATTCCTATCACTTTTGATAGGAATTGTAATTCCCAAAACTTAGCCCAAATGGAATTCATTTCTCAACCTTCTTATCCTTCCAAACATAAAATATGGAACTGGAATTGAAAATGGAATTCCAATTCCTGAGTTTTTTGTCTATCCAAATAGGCTGTAACAATAAATGTGCATGAGTCCCACTAATTCCATCTTTATAAAGCCAATTCCTATCACTTTTGATAGGAATTCTAATTTCCATAATTTGGATCAAAAGGAATTCATTTCCCAACCTTCTTCCTTTTCCAAACATAGAATAATGAAATGGAAATGGAATTCTAAATCCTTAGTTTTTTGTCCATCCAAACCGGTTGTAAGTGATTCTTAGGAGATTTAGCAAAAATAGAGATTTTCAATAGTAATAAAAGTTTTATATAATTTTTTCTTTTTGTTCGATTTCAAATGATTAATAACTTAATTAACCCTCAACAACAAGGAGAACATGTCAAGATTTCCTAGAATCACAAGTTTACAGAAGTCGTAGATTGTGGATGGTCTAAGTCGACAATGGGGGTCGAATCGAGTCGCGAATACAGGGTAGCTGGATATGACGTCATTTTGGAAAGACCAGTACGAAAAAATTATCATAATCCTTGTTCTGCTACACGTTTACGTGTGCGTCACTTCGATAAAATCATGTCTCGCATCTGAGTAAATCATACATATAGCTCCACCTAGGTGCTGCTTAGATCATGAACGCCTAATTTTGTGCCCAAAAACCTAATCGAGACATTATGTCACTAACTAGTTCCTTAATTTATCCAAAATTCCGCCTCTCAAAACCCTGATATTTGAGTCAAAATACTCACCGAGTAGACCCATTGCCAACTATAAATGGTGGCCTCTGTCCAAAGAGCATAGAGCTACCTGTACTTCTTTCTTGTATATACAGTACTTGGCTAGGTGTCCAATTCCAAAGAACATGAATTCCAAATTCTTCCCAAAGCCAAAACCCGCCCGCAGGTGACAAAAAAAATGCGGCGTCGATAGATCCCAAGCCTCTTCTCATATGTCTTTAACATGACGACGACTACAATTATGTTAAATTTCTTAATTACCTCCCCCAACAAAAATTCTCTTCCAATTCCTCGGTTCCCCCATATCTAGATCTCCATCCTGGCCTCCACCCTAAAACAACAGAACAAAAAAAACCCTGTCGTGAAATCCGCTAATTAAGCTAGCTAATTGCCTACTAATTCACCACTTCTGTCGTCATTCGCCATGCAACATTCAATTCCCCCCCTCCCCCCTCTCATTCTATAAATTCCTCCGTCCCCCAAACCCCAAACCCAAAATAACTTCCTCCGCCTTTCCCCTCGACGGACAAAAAAAAAGCAAAACCATGGCGGCGAAATTCTCCACGGTGGACAAATGCGACCCCACGGGGCGGGAGAAGCACACGGTGGTGGCCGACATGGACGGGACCCTCCTCATCGGCCGGAGCTCCTTCCCCTACTTCGCCCTCGTCGCCTTCGAGGCCGGCGGCGTCCTCCGCCTCCTCCTCCTCCTCCTCGCCTCCCCACTCGCCGCCCTCCTCTACTACCTAGTCTCCGAGCGGGCCGGCATCCAGGTCCTCATCTTCTCCGCCTTCGCCGGGATGAGGGTCGCCGACATCGAGTCCGTCGCACGCGCCGTCCTCCCCAAGTTCTACACCTCCGACCTCCACCCGGACTCCTGGCGGGTCTTCGGCGCGTGCGGCAGGCGCGTCGTCCTCACCGCCAACCCGAGGATCATGGTCGAGGCCACGCTCCGGGACTTCCTCGGCGCCGACCTCGTCTTGGGGACCGAGATCGCCACGTTTCGGGGCCGGGCCACCGGGTTGGTGAAGGGCAAGGAAGGGGTGCTGGTCGGGGAGAGTAAGGCGCACGCGCTGAAGGAGGCGCTTGGGGAGGACTGTCAGCCGGAGGTTGGGCTCGGCGACCGGCATACCGACGAGCCGTTTATGGCGCTTTGCAAGGTTCGCGGTTCTCTTGCATGTGTGTGTTCCTTTTGACTTTTGCATGGGCCGTAATTTACAACTCGTTCTCTCTCTCTCTCTCTTTGTTTTGTAATTCAGTGAATCGTTGGTTTTACTGCTTTTTATGAACTCCCTAACTTCTAACAACATTTTTTGGATTTTACTTCTCCGCAAAATCCTCACGATTTAATACAGGGAAACTACCATATGGTTTTCCTTTCATATTTGATCTCATATCATAACACGTGTGTGTATGTATGTACGTATTGATCTCATATCATAACTTGATGGGTCTTTTGGGGATGAATAAATGACCGAGTGCCAAGCATTTCGTGGACGCAACGGCGAAGATTTTATAACCACATGCATGCTATTTGGCTGTGAAGTTAATAGTTACATAATTATTTATAATCTAGAAGATGATTATATGATTAGTGATGTTGTGATGGCAATGCGGCGTGTGGTACTTCAGTACTTATATTCACTACGTGTCCAGCGTGGGCCGGGACATGTTATCTGTGTAAATATGAGTCGAGATATGTCAATCCATCTTTATATAATATATAGAAAGTGTTTAAAGAGAAAATAGAGATAATACATGGAATAATTGAGTCTAATTAGTTGAAAGATTAAGTCTATCACTTATCTAATTACTCATGTTTAGTTAGCAAACACATGGATGTACTTGCGCTATTTGAGTGACTTGCATAAGTTAGTTCCACCTACCTTCATTCGATTTTCGAATTCAACGTATACACGGTTAAATTTTGCTAGACGGGTAATAAGTATGCCAATTATCTTACTAGTATGTGCTCACTCGCTTTCGTTTGGTTTACGTGGGTTTTTTCACTCACAAACTGTGTACTCTAGTATTGACTTTTATACGAGGTTAAGCGACGGCCAGCTAATAAATCGTACTATACTAATATGGATTTCCTCTGCAGGAAGGGTTCATGGTCCCACCAAACCCGGAAGTCCGACCCGTCTCTGCCGACAAGCTCCCGAAACCGATCGTCTTCCACGACGGGCGCCTGGTCCCGAAGCCGACCCCACTGATCGCCCTGCTCACCATCCTCTGGATCCCGATTGGCTTCCTCCTCGCCTGCCTCCGCATCGCCGCCGGCTCCCTCCTTCCGATGCCCCTAGTCTACTACGCCTTCACCGCCCTCGGCGTCCGCGTCATCGTCCGCGGCCAGCCCCCACCACCGCCACAAAAATCCTCCGGCAAATCGGGGGTTCTCTTCGTCTGCTCCCACCGCACCCTCCTTGACCCGATCTTCCTCTCCACCGCCCTCGGCCGCCCCATCCCTGCTGTCGTGTACTCCGTCTCCCGCCTCTCCGAGTTCATCTCTCCTATCAAGACCGTTCGCCTCAACCGCGACCGTGTCGCCGACGCCGCCATGATTAGGAAGCTCCTCGAGGAAGGAGACCTAGTGATTTGCCCCGAGGGGACCACGTGTCGGGAGCCGTTCCTGCTGAGATTCTCCGCGCTTTTCGCGGAGCTGACGGACCACATCGTCCCCGTGGCCATGGTCAACCGGATGAGCATGTTCCACGGGACCACGGCCAGGGGTTGGAAAGGGATGGACCCTTTCTACTTCTTCATGAACCCAAGCCCGGCCTACGAGGTGACGTTTCTGAGCAAGCTACCGCTGGAGCTTACGTGCGGGTCGGGCGGGAAATCGAGTCACGAGGTGGCAAATTACATACAGAGGGTGATCGCCGCCACACTGTCGTATGAGTGTACGAGCTTCACGAGGAAGGATAAGTACAGGGCGCTAGCCGGGAACGACGGGGTCGTGGCGGAGAAGGCCAAGACTCAGCTCCAGGCTAGAGTCATGGGTTGCTAGCTAATTCATTTTAAATACTTTTTTTATTGTAATAATGATAATTGTTAAAAGAAATAATTGGTAGCCGGAGCGGATGGGTCGAAAAAGGGCGCGTCAAATGTGATATCACCCATGAAAACTGGTTACTTGCTGGACTCTTTCCTTTTTCAGTGAAAACTGAGTAACTTTATTTTTCTCTTCTGGAAATATAGTTTCGGTGTTTACACCAAAATAAATTTCATTAATTACCACATGGATTATTGTGCATGATTGGGCTACTTTGAGGAGTTGGCCCATATATATGGGAGGATCCAAATTATTTGGTTGGGTCATATGTGTGACAGGTAGTAGCTGACTGTAAGGTAGTCATCCCACATGATTTTTGTTACCATCCAACCCAATAATGGATCGTACCATCCCAACCCTATGGTGAATGGTACCATCCCAAGCATCATGAGTCCTATCCAACTCCTTAATGAATGGTGACTATCTAACATCATGGATATCATTCTAAATTTTAGTGGATGAAATCATCACATATCATGGATACCATATAGATGGTACCATTTAGGTTGAAGTACGGTGACTATCCATTATTATGGTTACCCTCCAATCTAACATGAGGTTATGGTGGATGGTTGCTAGCACTTGGTCACATGTTCAAAGACTTACATTGGCGACAACAGACTAGTTTAGATACTATGGAGCTACTTTTCGAGAGGAGATAGAGAATAGTTGGACGAATATGAGCAACAAAACTTGAAGCAACCTTCTGGAGGAAACAAGACAACACATAGACAATTTGTCTCAGTTGTCCTTTTTTCCTTTACTATGTAGGTTATGGAGCTCTCCTCCACGAAGAATCCTCCATAGTCGTAGTCTTAGCTGTAATGGCGGAGCTCTGAAGGAATCTCCATAGGAGTAGTGTAATGTAACTTAGATATCTCATACAACAAAACCCCTCGTTCGAATAGTGTTTAAAGATGTATGGACCTTTCATAAAAGTCAGGCGCAACCGATCCACTTGTTTTCCACCTTAACAATTTGGAACGCACGATGGGACACGTGTGTTTGGTATGGTTTTGCGAAGGAGGCAACAAAAATATTATCTTCCAATTAAAAATAAGATGGATGCAGCCAAGTTTTGCTGCCAATAATAATTAATTAATTTTCTATTATTTTGAATGGTGATCTCGATGGTGCCATAGGGAAACACTTGGGTACCGTGAATGGTCCGGACCATTTGGAGTGCAGCTTGCCCGGAAAAGGATTCGGGCGAGAGTTGTTTAGGAGAACTCAATCGCCACCTAAAACTCTTTGGGCCCTTTTAGACGAGCGTTGTGGAGACGCTTGGTCCTCTTCTTATACAGTCAGGTGTTCTCATAGGCATGATAACGCCATTCTTCCAACTCCACCAACTGCATTTTCCTTTCGGTACTTGCAAGACTCAGATCAAGGTTTAGCCGGTTAAGGGCCCAGAAGGCCTTGTGCTCTAGCTCGACAGGCAAGTGACAAGTCTTTCCATAAACAAGTAGATACAGAGAGGTATCAATAAGCGTCTTGTAGGTTGTCCTATACACCCACAGAGCATCCTTGAGCTTGGTAGATCAATCCTTGCGGGATTGATGATCCTTTTTAATTTCCGGGACGTCAACTCAGCTTGACCATTCGTTTGAGGATGGTAGCCGCGGAAAACTTATGTTTAACATCATAGCTAGAAAGGAGTTTAGTCCAAACTAAAAGAGGATAAGCTAAATTAACTTAACTATTCAATCCAAAATCACTTTGGTATCCCAAAGATTAACAAATCTTATAAAAATTTATAAATCTCTAACAACATACTCCACATATTAAGATATTATTTTTTGAACACTAATTGATTAATTCATCTTATAGAAATCCGTCGCAAAATGCCCGGCAATTAATTAGCTTTTTTTAGTTTTCATCCCGGACTTGCAAGAACCATTACCAAAAATTAATCTACACAAGTTGCGAAATCATCATAATCATCTTATGATTTACATCGCCATAATCCCTGTGACCAAACTGTGGATTCACAATTTCCCATCCCAACCTCTACCACACTAATCATTTTCTCAGAAAAAAAACCCAGAGGATCAAAGTCATTAACGCTCAAACAACAAAAACAGAGGAGAAAAGGAATCACATCTCATTCCATTCCAGCATAGGAAATCTTCCGCAGTCACTGGTGCGAAATGAAGAAAGAAGCAAAGAGAGAGATGAGCATAGGAGACTCGGCAGAATTGGAAGAGAACCTTCCACTCAAAGACCGCCTGAAAGCGTTCAAGAGTTCCAGCTTCGATCCTGACGCTTATTTCACCACACGATGCCAGACCATGAATGAGAAGGTTGATGAACCCTTCTCTTCTGCCATTGTTTTTATTTTCCCCAATAATATCTCTCTAATGAAGGATGTTTGATAATCAGATCATAAATATTTCCAGGAAATTCGTCACCTCTGTTCCTATCTTATAGAGCTCAAGAAAGCCTCCGCCGAGGAGATGCGGAAGAGCGTTTACGCCAATTACGCCGCCTTCATCCGGTCTACATTTATCACCATTCCCTTTTTCCTCTTCCATTGTGAAATTGAATTTATATATTATTTGTTAACATAATTGGTGTTGTTCACTTTCTACAGCACATCAAGAGAGATCACGGATTTGGAAGGGCAGCTTCTCTCGATGAGGAATCTATTGTCGAATCAGGGAGGTCTGGTTCACGCATTGAACGAGCAGGTCCGCATCGATTCGTTGTGGGTAGGCACCGATCAAACCCTAAAGGAGGATCTCTCCCAGATAGACAAGATGGAGCTTTCCAAAACAGAGGAATGGCTGATGGAATTCTCAAACACATTGGACGTTTTGCTCGCCGAGAGGCGAATGGACGAGGTCATGAACGCACTGCTCAAGGGAGAAATGCTTGTTGAAGATGCCAGCGACACCCCGGAGACGAACCCTAAATTTCTCGTGGCGATGCAGGCTTCGATCACTGAGCAAAGGATGAGGTTCGCTGATCAACTTGCGGAGACAATCAGCCAGCCATCTACTCGGAGATCGGAGCTTCGGTCCGCTGTTCAAGCTCTCAAGAGGCTCGGGGATGGCCCTCGTGCTCACACGTTGCTTCTTCAATACCACCAGAAGAAGTTGCAGTCTTCTATGAGGAACATTCGTTCTTGTAACAGCTCGCATGGAGGTGGAGGAACTTATGCCACCGTGCTTTCTCAGTTTGTTTTCTCCACGATAGCTCGGGCAGCTAGTGATTGCATGTCTGTGTTTGGGGATGAGCCTGCTTATACATCTGAGCTTGTGACTTGGGCTGTCAAGCAAACCGAGGCGTTTGCTCTTCTTCTCAAGAGGCATGTTCTGGCTTCCTCTGCTGCTACTGGTGGTCTTCGAGTTGCTGCGGATTGTTTGCAAGTGTGTTTGGGACATTGCTCGTTGCTTGAAGCTCAGGGACTTGCACTTTCTCCTGTTCTGTTGAGAATCTTTAGGTCGAGCGTCGAGCAGGCATTCCATTCGAATTTGAAGAAGATTGAGCATAGCACTACTGCATTGGCTGTTTCGGATGATTGGGTGTTATCCTTTTCACCTGCGAATGGAAAGTCTATGTCTTCTTCCGCTGCTAGTAACTCGGTTGGATCACAACCAAAGCTTTCATCCAGTGCCAACAAATTCAACTCAATGGCTCAGGTGATCACCAATTTCTCTTGTTTTTTTTTTTGGTGTCCCAAAACATATTTCTTCTGCTTGTAAGAAATGACTGTTGGAAGTTTCTTCTTAGGAATTCCTGGAGGACATAGTGCCTTTGGAGTGCCTTCATTTGGATGGACCGGCATTGGAAGGCGTTCAACGTGCCTTCAACTCGTACGTCGATTTGTTAATCCAAGCATTGCCAGGTTCGACGGAGACTGAAGATCACTTGGAAGGTTGTGGCAGGATTGTTCAGCCAGCAGAGACTGAAATCCAACAGTTTGCATTACTAGCAAATGCGTCATTGTTGGCAGATGAACTACTACCACGTGCTGCGATGAAGCTTCTGTCATCCTCCAACAACAAAGTGGATGAACAACAACAACAACAACAATCCAAGAGGGGATCCGAAAGGCCATCTCATCTCCCAGAGCAAAGGGAATGGAAGAGGAAGCTTCAACGCTCCGTCGATCGATTAAGAGATAGCTTCTGCAGATTACACGCACTGGAGCTTATATTTACAGACGAAGGTGACACCAATCTGAATGCACACATCTACACTAGTATGGATGACCACACTGAAGAGCCAGAATGGTTTCCATCTCCAATTTTTCAGGTACATTCAATCTAAGATTAACAAAAAGCACATGTTTTTTTTTGTTGAATTCCACATGGTCTTTCCTCCATTGGGTTTCTAAATGATGATATATGCTTAACAAATTTTTTTTATCAATCTGCAAATATTGATCAGCTTGTGTTCACAAAAATTACTACGTTGGCAAGCATAGCAACAGATGTATTTGTGGGTAGGGAAAGGTTTGCAACTGTTCTATTGATGAGACTCATGGAGACTATAATCCTTTGGCTCTCTGATGATCAAGCATTTTGGGAAGAGATTGAGCAGGGAGCCAAACCTTTAGGACCTTTTGGCCTTCAACAGGTAATACCTACTTCCCAAGGTATTTCTGGTGACCTATAAATTTCAAAAACTTTTTTTTTTCACTTCCCCTCTTGCTGCAGTTATATTTGGACATGGAGTTTGTGTTGATCTTTGCATCCCAAGGTCGTTACTTGTCCAGAAGTCTACACCAAGTCATTAAGGACATCATAGCAAGAGCAATCGATGCTGCTGCTGCTACCGGTGTCGATCCATACAGGTAAAATATCTGTTCATTTCACTTTGTCAAAACATGATTAGGGAATTGGTAAACCACTGATGAATTATTTTTTCTCCTCCCTTTGCCAGTGTGTTGCCCGAGGAAGATTGGTTCAATGAGGTCTCTCAGATAGCAATCAAAATGTTGACGGGGAAAGGAAACTTTGGAAGTGTGGAGAGGGATGTTGCCAGCCCTACTGCTTCTATCTCTGCCTCTTCTGTCATCTCAGATGCCAACTAGTTACTTTACCTCTTCATCCTCATAACCAGTTCTATAGAGTTGTTCTAGTACATGGAAAAAATAGTTCTGATTCCTTCATTTTTTGTTTCAACCAGAAGGCCTTTCAGTGTGGTAAGTTAGATAATTGGGAGCCGAATCTCCAGACAATGCCATTTTGGGTATGGGCTTTGACACTACAAACAATAGGTCTAGACTCAAATGTTTGTTTTCAATGAGTAACAAAATTCAACTCTGAGATCCTTGCTAAGAATTCCAAAATAGTTGGTGGGTAGCTGAAAAAAGGACAAAGAAAGAAACATGAGAATAGAAAGGAAAGGAATTAGAAAGAAAAGAGTTGGAAAGCAGCAAGAGAGCAAGATGAACCTTGTAATTGCCACAATCATGGGAAAGAAGTTATTTAATATATATTCCTCTAGCTTTGGGCTGGAAAAAGCTCTGTACAGTACCATTTGGATAATGCCATGCAGTTGGCACTTAGGCCCCAAAGCCAGAGCCAATGAACCAAAAAACAAATAAGAAAATAAAAATAATCAAGAGAGGAGATTCTGATTTCAGCAGCTTTGCTTTGGTTGTATACTTGTATTGCGTAGGCAGGCAAACATTAATTTTAACCTCTTCCTCAAAAGTAATAATTTTTACAAGTTTTGCTTCATGTACATGAATTTACTGACTCATTGAGATAAGAATTACATTGGACTCAGATTTATAAACTGAAAGAGGACTTTTGGAAGTATGATGTTGTTAGTCCCGACAATTCAGGTGATGACATCTCCTTTTGGAAGGATCGGTGGACCAGAGAAGTCACCCTTGCTGATAGCTTTCCTCGTGTTGCGGCTGCTGCTGTTAACCCCCGAGCAAGACTGCATGATATCCTTTTCAGAATGAATGAGACTGTTTCTTGTGAAATTCCTTTAAAGTTTTCGTTGAGGGGTGGGGCTGAGAGGGAGAGGGAGAGGCTTTATACTTTGATTTCTGGTCATTTACATGTGTTCTCTGCAGGGGTCGATAAGATTTCTTGGTTGCTGAACTCTGAGAAGCAGTTCTCGGTGCGCAGCATGTACCAACAGCTCACCAAGGAAGCGTGTTCTGAAGTTATGGAAGCTAGGGAGTTAGTTGACTTCCCTCACAAAGTCATTTGGCAATCACATATTCCATCTAAGATTTGTGTCCTTGTGTGGTTGATCTACCAGAGGAAGATACTTACCCAAGACATGCTAAAGAGCAGGGGTTGGAGCTTGCCCAACAGATGTCCTCTTTGCTTGGTTAACGAAGAAGATGCGAGCCATTTGTTCTTAAACTGCAGATTCACAACTCAAATCCTGTGAATCTTAAGACGATTTGTCCATATCCAAAGTAATCTGCTTCAAGGAGATATTTCTGCAGTAATCAGAAGGTGGCCTTCTCAAAAGCCGCAGGGACCCAAGGCATGGTGTACTATGTCTCTTCTTCATGCTTTGATGTGGTGTATATGGAGTGAAAGGAATGGCAGGATCTTCGATGATAAAAGTTCCCTAGTCCAAGTGGTTGCGTTCTCAGTTGGAAGGATGCTTGCTTCTTGGCTTATGGTGGCGGGAAAGATTGAAAGGCAGGTTTGCGGAGGTTGGCTTGAGTTGCTTAAGGTGGAACTCATTACTGGTCAGCAGTCGCAGTTGGTCACAGCTCCTTAGAATGGTGCTTGTTCTGGGCTTGGATTGATAGAGTCTTGTTTGTGATCTTTCTCCTCCTGTTTCACTTTCTCCTGTTGTTGTTGGTTGCTGCACCAGTGTGTTGGTTGCTGCATCTTTTGTCATGTTTGTTTTTTTCTCTTTGTTGTTCTGTTTCTTTTTAACTCTCTTTAATTAATGAATTTCACCCTTACCAAAAAAAAAAGAGAATTACATTGGAAACATATTTTTCCCCATAAAATAAGGTCCCGAATGAGGAAAACGTGTCTCCCAACCTCTCTCTTTCTATATTGTTTTTTTATTCCCCACACCACCTCAGGAGACCATTAGGGCTGTTAATGAACCGAGCTCGAGCTTTCATTTCATAAACGAGCCGAGCTCGAGCTTGCATATTAAAGTTTGTGACGAACACGAGCCGAGCTCGAGCTTGAAAATATATTAACGAGCCAAGCCCGAACTATGGCAAAGCTCGGCTCGACTCGGCTCATTAACCGCCCTAGTGACCATATGTTCCCATTCTCCAAAACTCCGGATTTTTTCCAAAAATAATACCCAAAAATTAAATAATCCCCAAATACCACCCTCTTCAAAAACATTTCATTCTTACCACCATTTGATACAAGCTGTAGGGGGTGCCACGGTTAACATACAAACCGCTGGAGGGCACAATTTCTACTAACCGAGCTGGCACGTAGCAGTCTCGCTGGTTGTCGGATCATCCCATTACCTAATGACGGATCGCGCGCCAGGTCAGCGGTTCGCGTTTTGGAGGCAGAAACCGCACCCCCACCCATGTGGCTTGTGTTTGAGAACAAATTTCCTTTGGCAGGACACGTGAATTTTGTTTGGTTTAAATGACCAAACTGCCCGAAACTCTCCCCCCCCCCCCCCCCCAACCCACCCCCCTACCAACCCCACAATCCATCTCCTATATAAACCACCCTCCCCCTCCATTTGCTTCATACCAAAACCAACCCTTCTATCTCTCTAAGATTTTCTCTCAACTCATCCCCCTCTCCACCCAAAACTCCAGATTTTGTGGTCTATTGGTTGCAGCTAAGTCAGAACTGCCATCAGAAAACATTTCTTAGATATTTTCCTCCAAAACCCGTCGAAGCTTTGTTGACCTTCCTTAAAAAATGGACCAAGATTGGTATCATCAAGATGGTATTTATTATGATGACTATCAAGGGGTACGTACTCATTCTACTCTTTTTTTCTTATAATTCTTGTTAATTAATCTATATACTAATTATTTTTTTAGTTTTGCTATCGTAGGTTGATCAGGACGTTGATATTTATGATCAAAGGTATTATCTTGACCAAGGACCTCATGATGGAAGTGTTATATACAACCAACCTAACCATCGTTCAAGGGATGTTTGGAATGATTTGGCGGTACATATAATTCTTCAATTTTTTTCATATTTTATTTTGTTAACATAATTAGTGGTTTATAAAATTAATTTTTAATGGTTAATCATATTGATTATTTTCAATGATTTGGGTTAATAAAATGTGACACTTACTTAGACTCTTTATAAAGAGATGCATGCTTAAAGAAATGGGGTCTTAAGCGATCATCATGATCCTCCCATCACTTGAGAAAATCGGGTCTTAAGCGATACTTGAATCCCCCCTTTTCTTTTAAAAAAAGGTTATGTTTCTAAGGAGATGTATACCTCTCCTAAGAGTATAACGAGTGTACTTGTGCATTGGCTTAAATCATTTAAAACAACCAATACAATTTACAAAATAGTATAATGGATTTATGATTATGTTTATGTGCATGTTTATATCTTTAAAAATATCTATGGTATTCATTTTGTTAATTTCAATTGTTTGGTATAATTGATTTATGTGTATATCTTTCAAATACTATTCGTTTTAGGCAATTGAATATGTTTGTTATGACGAATTTATGTGTATATCTTGCAAATGGTATTCATTTTGTTAATTATAAATTGTTTGTTGTAATAGATCTATATTGTTATAAATCATAAACTTATGGTTGTAATTTCTTTGCTAAAGTGTGCACCATATTATCCGCTATCGAGGTACGAGCAATGTGCTCTCATATAACGTCGTTATCTTGCCCTATCACAAAAGAGAAATGTTGGAGTCAATGAGGCACTTTGTCGCCACCAAGATTGACGGTCAACTCATCACGTCATTGGTGGAGAGATCACGCAAGGAGACACACAACTTCAACTTTCGTGAAGTAGAGTGCACCATCACATTGAAGGACATCATCATCCTAATGCATTTGCCCATCGATGGTGATGCGGTGTGTGTGAACAATCTTCCACCAACTTCACATGCCGATGGTCTGAATGGCTGGAAATATTTGGTCCAGAGTGCTCTGGGCCTGTTCGTGCCAAACAAGTCGGAAGGTGGCGTTGTGGAATATGGAAAACCACCATTGAGGAAACACCAAGTATCAATCACTTGGTTGAAAATGCAAATTAAGAGGAAGCACAACCCTGGGGAGAATGTCATCCCCCTCACTGAGGATAGTGATGACAGAGACAAGGAGATCTATGCTTGTGTCTACCTCGCCGACATCATTGGAGGAGTGTTATTCCCCCAAAAAAGTCGAATGACTTGATTAGCTATGCATGGTTGCAGATCCTCCTTGGTTATTGGGAGGATATGGGGAACTAGCTCAAACATTTTTCGGCCTACCAGATAAGGGAGCCAATGATCATGACCCGAGATCTCATATGGCAGGTAATTTCTCTAGCACTACCGAGTGGTTAATTGATTTGGGGTGTAATGAGCATATTACCATGAATGGGTATTTATTGTCGGATAAGGAGACTCAATTTAGCAATCACCATTACATATTTCTAATGGTGAGAGCATTCCGGTAAAACATGTGGGTTTGGTAGTTCTTCAGCCTGGATTCAATTTGAGCCGAGTCTTCCATGTGCCAGAGTTTCAGTGCAATTTGGTTTCTGTGATTAGATTGATGAAGGATAACAATATGGCCTTGATATTCCTTAATGGTTTTTGCATCATTCAGACTTACGCTTCAAGAAATTTATTGGGTAGGGTGAACTTCGAGATGGGTTGTATTACCTGCGTTTGTTTGGAGCTGGCAAGGTGCAGGCTTGCACGGTTCAGCAGAAGAATTTGATGAAATCATTCAACTGACATGCACGATTGGTACACCCTGTGCTAGATAAGCAGTCATATGTTGGTCATTTTTTATCGTTTCCTTTATTGTCGTTTATTGTGTTGGGTTGTTCAGCAGTTCAAAGGGAAGAAAGCATGTTCTCTAGGGGGTCGACTAATCTGAAATGTGGCAGTTAGTATCATATGGAGAGAAAGGTGCTCGAGAATCCATGGTGGTCAAGCTGCCTTGTGTAATGAAGTGGTTCGTGTTGTCCGAAGATTGATTAAATTGGCAAGAATGGGCAATCTGGGATTAGATGCAGCTTGTCAGAATGTATTTTCGTAAAACTTGGTGGATGTTTCCAGTAGTCCGTAGCAGTTAGTGTTTCTGTGTAAATTGCATAATTCTGTAGACAAAATGTAAAGACCCAGAATGCACTTCCTTTTCCAAGTTGGTGCATAAGATCTTAATGACATTTTTAATATTGCCCATAAAAAAAACAAAGGCCCCTGTCATTATTGTTCTCGGACAACACAGTCTCGTCTTCCTTTTCAGTCTAACATGATTAAGATTATGGCCAGTTTTGATTTAATTCATGTGGATTCATGGGGAGGTTATAAGATTACATCTTTGAGTGGTGCCCATTATTTTTTGACAATTGTGGATGATTTCACTTGTGGTGTTTGGGTATATTTGGTGCGATAAAAATAGGATGTTAAGCATCATTTGCTGCAGTTCTTTCAAATGGTGAGAACACAGTTTAGGTCTCGTGTGAGTTGAATACATGCAGACA